AGTTGGGATTGTTTATCCCAGACAAAAAGAGGCTCAGGAGAGGCTTTATTGCTCTCTGCAACTCTGGTGAGTGTCTGTCACTTCTCCCAGGAAACCAGCCACAGGATGAGAGGGTGGTGGTGAGTCCAGAGAAGGACAATGAAGCTAATGAAGGTCCTGGTGGGCAAGTCCTATGAGGAGTGGCTGAGGGAGTTGGGATTGTTTATCCCAGACAAAAAGAGGCTCAGGAGAGGCTTTATTGCTCTCTGCAACTCTGGTGAGTGTCTGTCACTTCTCCCAGGAAACCAGCCACAGGATGAGAGGACCCAGCCTCAAGCTGCTCCAGGGGAGGTTCAAACTGGACCTCAGGAAGAATTTCTTCTCTGAAAGTGTGGTTAAGCATTGGAATGGGCTGCCCAGGGAAGGTGTGGAATCACCATCCCTGAAAGTGTTCAAGAAATGACTGGACATGACACATGGTGTCACAAGGTGGTCAAAGATTGGACTCAATAATTTTGGAGGTCTTTTCCAACCTAACTGATTCTGTGACATGGCCCTTCTCTCTGAATGAGAAGGAGGGCTTGAAGAGAAAAGTACAGGCAGCAAGGGTAAATAGGAAGCCATTTCCTCCTCCTCCTTCTTCCTCCTTTTCTTCTGAGAAGGTCCACAGGCTTGGATGGCAGTAAAGGAGATAAACCCTGAAGAGGTCAGTGTTGGAAGTGAGGGGAGTAGCCACTCACACAGGCAGTGGGTCTTCAAAGAGAAACTCTCCATTTGACAATGCTGGCTTCTAGATGGGTTAGAAACATAAAAACACAATTTAGTTTTAAAAGAGGGCTTTTAATTTATGTCAGATATGAAAGTACCTGTAAGTTTAATGTGTGCTCTGCAAACAGAGACAGCTGGGGGTGTTCAACCTGGAGAAGAAATTACTCCAGGGAGACCTTGGAGCCACTTCCAGTGCCTCAAGGGACTCCAGGAGAGCTGGAGAGAGACTTTGGACATGGGCATGAAGTGACAGGACAAGGGGGAACGGCTTCCCACTGCCAGAGGGCAGGGTTAGATGGGATATTAGGGATGCATTCTTAACTGTGGGGCTGGTGAGGCCCTGGCACAGGCTGCCCAGAGAAGCTGTGGCTGCCCCATCCCTGGGAATGTCCAAGACCAGGACAGGGCTTGGAGCAACCTGGGATAGTGGAAGGTGTCTCTCCTCATGGCAGGGGATTTGGAACTGGAAGATGTCTCATGTCCCTTCTAACCCAAACCATTCCATAATTCAATGAAGCCCCAGGGAGTGTTTTTCCAGTACATCTGCTTTAAACAAGTTTTCTGCAGCTGTTAAAAGAAAAGGATGTGATGTGTTAACCTGGAGTATCTGCATGTAACCTGGAGTATTTACAAGAGCTGGCTTATACATTCCCAAACTATGTGGACAATGGCTCATGTTCTGCCTTCCTCATCTCTGCTCACTGATAATCCCAATCTGTCTGATACTCTTAAACTGCTGTTTTCTGAAGGCTTCTCATGCTTGAAACTAGAAGACACTTAGCAGACAAACCTTCTCCTCATTTTTTTTATTTTCTTTTTTTTTTCTCTCAAAAATCAAGATAAAGACACTTGGGTTTTAAATCTTTTTACATATCTAAGATCCAGAGTTTACCTAGACACCAAGTGTTTGTGGGTAGCCATAGTAATAAATTCCACCTGCATATAAACCAGCAAGGGAAGGACAGAGATAAATCACTGCTCCTAGCATTTACTCCCTAAAGGATGGAGGCAGTGCAACCTGTTTACTTCCAGCTCAGAATCACTGGTTCAGCCTTCTTGAACTTGCAGGCTTTTCTACCATATTTATATCACACAATTTCATTTGCTTTGGGCTTAGAATATTTAGTGAAGGTAGTGGAGAAAAATGTAACTTCATATGAAAAGAAAAACAAGAGCATGCCAACTTGCACTCCCAAGGTACAGTGCTGCTACTGAATGGTGTTGGCATTTTCTGGACTTCTTCAGCGTGTGATCTACAACCCCTCAAACCCACTGGCACAGCAGAGCCATCCATCCAGCACTTGAGACAGATCAGGCTGATCCTGAGTGTATTTTCTCTCTTAGTTCTCTTTGACATATAAATCTACATTCTTGGAGGGTTCTTTAGATTATGAAGCATTTTGAGGCACTGAGTTCACAATGAATCACAAATTAGCAGTTCCTAAAAAATAATGTCAAATAAAATCAGATTTCTTTTGCTGAAGTAATTGTTGTTCTCAGAGGAAATGTGAATGTAACATTGACTCTCAGAAGGAGCTCGTGTTGAGGCCTTTGAGTGTTCCTTAGAATGGATGTGATGTTTACAAAGGCCTAAAAAATCATCTGGATAATCTTCCTGAGCCACTCTTAAATGTAGTGTCATCCACCTGGGAAGTATATTGGGAAGTATAAAAGACTTTATGTATTTGGGGTTTGTTGTTGGCTGCTGGAGCTCCAATATTTGCACAGTCACTATGTGAAAGCTGAGTTTGTAAATCCCACTGAAGGAGAACCCAGACAATAACCAAAAGCAACAGTAAAAACAAAACAAAACAATAGGGAAAGTCTCCTACTGTGTAATTAGTTTGAATAGGTTTGGTGGTTCTTATGTACATGGAGTGTAACTTCACATGATCCCATCTGGGTACACAAGAAATAAGTAGTTCCTCAGAAATCAAAGGAGGTTAAATTTTATACGACTTTCATAATAGGAAAGTGTGGCCTTTATATCCAGAGGCTAAAATGGTTAAGCAAACATCTAATATGGACTTAATGTCTTAATCTGACTTTGGATGTAAAAACAACGCATGAGAATAAACATTTGGGTTTTGATAAATTTAACTGTCCTCTCTTCTAAAAGCTCCCAGCAAGATAAAGCACTTAGACTAGTGAAAGTAGTCTTTTTTTGTTATCCTTTTTCTAGATTAACATTTAATTTAAGACAGGAAACTCCTAGAAGGACCTCCTGTGAGACTCGGGAATGTCCCCCATGTCTTTGATCATCATTTCCCAGGAAAGAGCCTGTCCCTGCAGGGTGAGATGAGTTGTGCATTTTCCCTGGAGGAGCAGCTGGAGATTGGGCTGGCAGTGCCACAAACAGAACATGTTTCACACAGTACATTTGCTGCCTACATGAGAGAGATCTGGTAGCTCCCATGTGTCCGACTCAGCAGATGGGGATGGCATCTCCTTTGCCCAGGGGATGGCAAAGCACTGGGAAGCAGCTCCCAGGCTGCCTTCCCAATGAGCAGCCAAAGATTCTTCTGGGTGCACCAAAGGAGTTTTGCCCAGCACAGGCCAGGTTATGCAAATGTCTTGATTTTCTTGTTTCTTTCTCTTCCAGGACAGAACAAGACAAAGGGTTCATTTAATGCAATCTGAACCCTTGGTGTTATTGGAAAAGGACCAAGAAAGCTGCATGATCCAACACTTTGCTGTGAAGAGGCTTGAGGTTGCAGTGTGTCTTCACAGCTCCCAGCAAAAATAATTTTTCCTTAGTGGCTAAAATCCCTGTGACACACCGGAGCCCAGAGCTCTCCCCAAAGATGGACAGACACAGAGCAAACTGCAAAATTCCCCAGCCATGTCAGTGCATCTTCCCAGGGAACACAGGTGCTTCCCACCCCAGCGTGGGCATGGAGCAGCTCTGGCCTCAGCAAAGGGCTCCATCCCTATTCCCTGTTCACAGCAGGCTCAGCAGAGAGCAGAGGCCATCCCAGCTGAAAGGTGCCTGGCAGCATGCTTGTGGAGCTGGGGCAGCCCTCTGCTCAGCTCCAGGCTGGGTTCCTGTGAGAAGCACCTCTAAGACCTGTGGGAAGACACCAGCCAGGCTGATCCTTTGTTTTGTGTTTTCCAGCTATTTCACCTCCTGCTGTGGAAGGCAGGGCATTTCTGCCAAGGTGGCAGAGGACTCTCTAATGCATCTGCTATAGTCTGAGAATGGCTATGTTTATAGGATCTCCAGGAAGGAAGATGTGTGGGATTTCCCATACAGGGTTGAGATGGAGTTTGTCCAGGAGTTCTGCCAGCACTTGTATTTCTCCAGAGGAATTTTGCACTGTCTGGGGAGGGGTTTTGGTATTCACAATGCTCTCACTCCCTTCTGCTTAAAATATTTGATGTTAGTTCTCAAGGTGACTAGGCTTGAGTTTTTTCTTAAGAAATAAACTAAGCAAATGCAGGGAACTGTAAACCTTGTTGTGACTGCACTACTGGGGAAAGGGAATTCTGATTGACTCAGATGATTCCTTTCTCTATTTGGCTTCACAAGCTTGCTGTGCAGGGCAGGGCATTTCTGGGTACTGCCATGAGTAAAGGCCCTGGGAAGAGCCAGGGAAGTTCATAAAGGAGGGACTGATGGACATGATCAATCAGCCAGTGGTTCCAGAGCCTGGGAATTGAGGGCAGTGGGGCATGGCACAAGAAATGGTGAGGATGAGTGTGGTCTCAAGACACAGCCAGTGTGCAGATGCTGGTGAGCAAGTCAGAGGGAGCCATACCCTGAGGTACAGCAGAGGTGCCTCAGCCTGAAATCACTCTGATGCTTTCATCCCATCAGGGACTGTGTCAGCATTTGATCCCAGCAGAAAAAATCCTTCCAGGCAGAGTACCCGGGATAGCAGGAGCTCTCCAGCAAGGGGTGAGAGTGATGTGCTCACTTTGTTCTTCTAGGACAATGTCTAGGACAATTAACAACAGCTCCTGAGCTGAGATGTCCAGTCCCATGATGGCACCTCTGAAAGGGACACAGCTTGTAAGAGCTGGTGGCACCCTGGACCACTTTGTTCATGCCATTCACAGGAAAATAACTGGTGTCTGACACTGACACTGGTTTGGGTGTTGGCTCATCCTCTGATTGCATTTGCACACCCAATGTCCTGCAAGGGTGCTCTGGGAACTGTGACTTTACTGGTATTGTAGAAATTTCAGTGAGAAGCAACATGCAGTTTATGAAAGAGGTGTCCCTGCAATCCAGCACTGCAGCAAATAACTTTTATTGTGAGCTTTTGCAAACTCCATGATGTGGCACACATTGGTCTTTGACAACCATTGAATACACTTCCCCAAATCAGTTTCCCATCAATCTGCAGAAAAGCTTCAGAAGCAGAGCAGAGAATGAAGGTGTCCAAGGAGTGCATCACAGGAATTCAGCTTTGGCTGCTCAAAGCTTTCTATGTCTCTGATGCCAAAGCCTGCCTGTCTGATACAACAGCTGCTGCTCTCAAGGTGCAGTTTCAAAAGCAACCAAGCAAAAGCATGTGCCAGGATCACAGAATCACTGAATTGTTGTGTTTTGGAGGGACTTCTCAGGACCTTCTAGTCCAGACTCCAGGCTCCAGCAGGATCCGCAGGTTGTCCAGAATCACGGATTTTTGGGGTTTGGGAATCTCCAGACATGGAGATCTCCAGGCAGGATCTCTGGGCATCCTGAGAAGCCCTGGTGCCACAGCCTTGCTAAGGAGATGAGGGACAAGTCAGCTGCACACTCCTGGGGACAGCAAAGGAGGAGAGGACTCATTCCTGAGAGCTCTCTCCTGAGATGGGCAGCAAAGCAAAGCAGCTGGAGGCTCTGCCCACGTCTCTGTGCCTTTGAGCAGAGGAGGAGGTGCCCTGAGGGACAGAGCTGGGAACACAGCAGAGAAGGAAGCAGCACAGACTCTGCACAGGACACTTGTGCCCCGCTACTCTGCTCTGCTGAGACCCCACCTGCAGTGCTGCCTCCAGCTCTGGGGCCCACAGCACAAGAAGGATACAAAGCTGTTGGAGAGGAGTCCAGTGGAGGCCATGAAGGTGCTGTGAGGGCTGGAGCATGTCTGCTCTGGAGAGAGGGTGAGAGAGCTGGGGATGTTCAGCCGGGAGAAGACTGCTGAGAGTGCAGTACCTCAAGGATCTCCAAGAGGGCTGGAGAGGGTGTCTGGACAAGGGTATGGAGTGGCAGGGCAAGAGGGAATGGTTTCACACTGATGGAGGGCAGGGTTAGACGGGATATTATAAAGAAGTAAATTACTGTGAGCATGCTGTGGTATGAGTAAAAGTTACTGAGAGATGTTTTGACTGGTCCATCCCTGGAAGGGTTCAAGGCCTGGCTGGGGAGGGCTTGGAACAACCTGGAGTAGTGGAAGGTGTCCCTGCTCATGGCGGGCAGGTCAATATGAGATGATCGTTAAGGCTTTTATGTCCCATCAAAGCCAACCCATTCTGTGATTCTGTGATTCTGTGACATGTGAGAAAAGGCACTGCACCTTTTCCATTGAGGATGTGTGGCTTATTTCTGAGAACAGGAATTGTTGAACAGAGTAATATTTTTCACCTTGTAGAGCTCAGTCAACCTCTCCTCCAGTTCCCCCAGCGTGATGTTCTCCACCTCATTTTTGTCATTCTCAGCAATGGCCCCCCAAGCATCTTTGGGCTCTTCATCCACCAGACAGCAGGCAGCTGACCAGATGTGGCTGGGTACATTAACCCTCTTATTGGACATGTAATTTTTCCCAGGCACAGCACCTGTGATGACATAGGTGGTTGTACAGCCCTTGGTCATTTCGATCATTGTTCTACGCTCGTAGACCTTCCACTGGCCATCATTGAGACTCTTATTCTGGGGCACTGCGTTGGTCAGGGTGTAGGTAGCTTTCTTGCTCTCTTTATTATCCATATGGCCACAGGGGCACAAATGGCCACGGTCCCAAACAGTCATGTTGTAGTCAGCGTTGACAGCCTGGCTCTTTTGGATTTCTTCTACGGTGAAATTGTTTCTTATGAGGACTGATTCCATTTCCATAGCTTCAAAATTATTTTTACCTATGAGCTGGACAGAGAAAGAGAAAGAGGTGTTAGAATGGGAGTAATGGAGAAGATTTCCCTGGAGCAGAAGTCTCTGATGATTAAGATCCAATTTTTTGTCATCTCATTGTAGGAAAAAAGTATGAATCTTAGAGAAATCATACACATGACCCACCCACATGAACACAAAAGCTGAAAGAGTAAGCAGCTCAGAATCTGACTGCTCTCAGTTTGACTTGTGACCTTTGTAATCTAGCCTGCAGCTTGTGCAGGGAGCATGGATGGATGCACAAGACAAGGAGCATTTTCTACTCCTAGGATTGAAAGTTGATTTTGGTGAAGCACTTTCCCTGCCAAATCTGTTTCGCTTTCCTCCTGTCTCCACAGCCCAAATCTGCCCAGGGCTCTCCCTGGATCCCCTCACAACATGCTGTCATTCTGTGATTCTGTGATTTTATGTGTGGTTGCTGCAGGTGTACCCCAGTCCTGGAACACCAGAGGTTGCCTCCTGTAACCCCATACAGAGGGAGATGTGTCAGGAAATCAGTCCTGGAGCTGAGGTTTCCCTGGGAGGGCTGCAGTTTATTCAAGGTTGAACAGTTTTGCTCAGTAAGCAAAAAGATCTCAATGTGAATGGAATCTGTTACAGCAGTGCTGAGAATGTGTCTCAGGGCTGATGTGGGCCAGGGAGAATTATTGGCAGCATCACTGAAAAGAAGTTACAAATGATCAGCCTCTGATTGGGACCTCAAAAGAGTCCTGGGGAAACTAAATACTCCAACATTTCCTCAGGAGTACATCTACCAAATCTAAGACGTTTTAAGTTGCTAGGATCCAAGGTCGAGGAGGAAGATGCCAGGTTGGATAGGGCTTGATCATGCTGGTCTAATGGCAAGTGGCCATTAGGGGAGTTGGACTGAGATGGTCTTTAAGGTTCCTTCTAACACAAATCATTCCATAAATATCCAAAAAGAGAGAATGTGAAGGCTACAGTGTTGATCGGAATAGTTGTTCAAGTTATATGATGAAATTACAGGTTTTTTTTATAACTTCAACATATTTTTGGTCATTTTTAGGGAAACATATTTAGCCTTCCTCTGGAGCAGGGCACGTGGCCTCCTCCTCTGGCTCACCTTCCCCCAAATTGTGTCCTGCTACTCCGTCCTTACCAATGACAGGAATTCCTTCTTTTTCTCTTCTGCAAGTGGCCTGGCCTGTTTTACCGAGGTTTGTCAGAAGGACATTTCTGAGGGCTCAGTTTTTTGTGGTGTTCTGTCTGTCTGCTGGATCCTTCTCAACCAAGCCTGAGCCAAAGGTGCTCAGGGGTCACTGCCCATGGATGGAGATCCCACCCTTCTGACTGGACCAACACTGATGCTCCTCACATTTCGCTGCCTGAAATGTCACTGCAGAAATCCCTCCACAGTTAACCTGACCCTCTCATCTCCAGTGCCTTTTCCCCTGAGGCTTTGTCCCTGGGCCATCTCACCCCCTTCTGAGTTTCTCCTCACTTCTTTCACTCCACTCACAAAGGCTGTTGGACTCTTCACTGGGAGCAGAGAAGCTCTGCCAAGGATGCAGAACAGCTCAGGGCCAAGTGGGGATCAGATGCCAGCAGGACTGTTGGTGCATCAAGTTTAGCCTCTCCTGGATGCCTTTTCCCCATCACTTGGTCACCCAGCACAGCAGGGCCCAGGGAGGGGAAGCATTTGCCTTTGTCATGTCATGCAAAGGAATCTGATTTGCTGTTCCTGTCAGGTGAAGGCAGAAAGCTGGGCACCCTTGGGATGTGATTCATCTCCTGCTCCTGCTGATATCTCAGATGCATCAGAGGAAGCATGGTGTGCAGGGGTTTGAAGTTCAGTGAGGACATTCCCATGCAGTGTGTCCATTTGCATGTGAGTAGTGGGGTGTCAGGAAACAGAAGTGGTAATTTAAATGCTGCAGCTCATCTCTCAGTGGCTGCAGGGTGATGTGATGTGCTGTAAGAGAGACACTCACCTGAGGCTCAACCATCCACAATCGTCGAGGATTGTTCCCTTCTACAGGATGGTATTTGTAAGCAGAGTACACTGGTATTCTCTCGTCTCTGTTGTACAGGGTGGCATAGTGATACGAGCCATTGTACCGCTGGCAGATCCAGGCTGGGTTCTTTGGATTCAGGGCATCATTTGGGGGAAGGCGTGAATAGAAGAACTGAGGACAGCTTGCAAAGGAGTTCACCACCTCGCCGTGTCCCAGCCAGAGGCAGCTGGCCAACCCCTGCAGCAGCAGCAGCCCCAGCATGGTGGGAGGATTTCAGTGAAGGGCTCTTGCTCCCCTGGAAGGCAAATGCAGAGACACACTCAGCTTGGAGAGAGCTGAACATGGCCTGGAGCCTTTTTGTGCAGGGGGACAAACCTGGTAGTGGAGAGGATTATGAGACACCAGGAAAGGTCTAATTTCTGTCCTCCTACATATGGAGAAATCAGAAGGGCAGTAAGGGTGAATCCCAAAGCAGGATTTAGGTGACCACAGGAGGCAGCAGTGGAAGCACTCAGCCTGCAGGAAGAAGAAGCCAAACCCACCACAGGACTGCAATCAGCTCTCACAGCAAAAGTGCAACTGAGGCACAGCCCTGGGACAAGGTCACCTTTTCCCACCTCCCTCCTGCTCTCAGCACCTTCCCACAGCAGACACCTGCAGCTGGGCACGGGCTCTGCTCAGCCCCCTGCAATGCTGAGCTGGGCTTTAATCTCATGGGGCATGAGGCAGGCAAAGAACAGCAATGCTGCACTTCCTTCAAGTCTCTGGCCCCATCCAGGCTCACACAGACACTCAGCTGTGCCACTCAGACCCAATACTGAACCCCAAATGATCCACCTGGGCTCCTGCCTCTCAGCTGACATTGGGCCATGGGTGTCCTGCTGCTCACCTTGCATTTCCATGTCATCCAACCCCACACTCTGAACTTGCAGACACATGGAGAGAGCAAATGAAGGGGCCAAGCAGATGGCAGCAGCAAGCAGGAGGGATAACACCTCTATCTTATCAGTACAGTGGCTGCTGCAATGCAAGCACTAAGGGGCAGCTCTTCCCATGGTTGCTTGGGATTGCTGCTGATGTCCATCTTCAGCTTTGCTGATGGATTTCCCTGTAGAGTCAAAGGCACCATTGCAGGAATTTCTTGGACAGCCACCTATCCTGTTTTGTCTTTCTCAGTGGAGACCTGATTTTCAGCAGTCAGTAAGGTCATTCCTTTATGAGAAACCTGCTGAAAAGTTCCCTGGGACTCTGGTAACCAAGCATGGGTCTTTGGTTTGAACAAGATGTAGTGATTGGTTCATGAAAATGAGGAGGAGTTATTAAATATGGTGGGTGGAGGTTTTATTTAGGTTAGCATTTCTTTGACATGTATTTTTGTTTCTCCACTGTGGATTTGAACCCTTTTCTGTGCTCCCTTCAATTCCCCCCCGTGGGGTGGCTGCTTGGCAGCTCTGGCTGACGGGACTGTGGGGGCATGTGCAGGACAACGTGTATTTGTCCCTTGTGGGAAGCTACAGGGAGTGGAGGACACTTGTTGCTGGGAGGCCTGGCAGGGTAGCATTGCACCACCACTCAAGATGCAGGAAGACCTCAGCCAAAGAAAGGCATGGAAGGACATATGAGGACTGCTCATGAATATTAATGAGGCTGATGCAATCTTGGGTATATCAAAGACGGAGATGCCATTTTTTAAGCCAAGCCTCCAGTGAGCAAAAGGAGACTTACTACGCTCAGAGCAATTTTCCCTTTGCTTTGCAATTTTTAACAGGATCTAAGCAAATTTTATTTACTCAATCCCACCTGGGTATGATTGGTTTATAACAGTTTTGTCTCCTTTCAGAGGCAGTACAGGTTTGGGGGAGGGATATTTCCATTTGCATCGCCAGACACTCAATGCAGTGATTTCATATCATCAGCATTTGGAATATGGCAGCTGGGACAGGCAGGTAAAAGGGTTCCTGGCAGAGAAAGCTGCCACAGCCTCTAAAGCACAAAGCCCACCTTGGGCTGGGAAGGGGCTGAGCTCAGCACTGCTGAAGGCTTGACAAGTCACCTTGCACATTTGCCCTTGTCTTGTTCTTCTCCCTGACCCTCATCTCTCCATTTCCACTGGATTCAGGATGTTGAGCTGCACTCAGTCCTACTCTGACCCAAGATATCTGGTACTTTTTCTCTTTTGCATCCCTGGATCAGGAACATGTGATCCTGACCAATGAGCTGGAAACTGAGAAATGGCACTATAAGTGGTGACTCTTTACAGTACTCTGCAGAGCATGCCCAAAGCTACCCTAAAGCAAGCAGGGAAGGGTCTGAAAACTCCTTCTGCATGAATCACTCCATGAGATTGAAATAGATCTAACTCACTTAATATCTGACTTAATAGATACAGAGAAAACAACCTACCGTGAGAAGGAGCGGCACAGGATGCTGCTCGCAGCCCCCAAGTGGCAGAGGAGTCTCCAATGCCTCTGCTGCAGTCTCAGACTCTCTGGGTTTATATGCTCTCCAGGAAGAGACAGATGTTAGATTTCCCAAGAAGGCTTTCGAGTGAATTTTCCCAGGTGTTCAGAGAGCACCTCTGTTTGTCCAGAAGTTTTTTGCAAGGTCATAGATGGAGTTTTAGTACTGCATAATCTCCCCCTTCCTACTTATTCAACAGTTTGATGTTAATTTTCAGGTGAGCTGGCTTGAGTTTCTTTCTAAATCATTCCTTCTCTTCTTGCCCTCCTGACTGAGAGAAAATACCAAAGTGCTGCAAAATTCAGTGCATGCATAAGCTCCGATTGCTCCTTGGAGCTCAGCTACTCCATCTTAGGCTTTGCTTATTGACTATATATATTTATGCTAAAATGTTTTGAAAGACAGGTGTGTGTAAGTGAAGGCTGGAGCCTCCCTTGAAATGGAGAATGTAAATCCCGTCCTTGTGATTTATTTTAATTTTGAAATTAGGGTTCTCTCAGGCAAAAGCATATGAATATAGAAATCACAGGGTTTTTTTTACTAGTTTTTACAATAAAGCAAGCGAACAATAACACCTACAGCATTCTCAACAAACAGAACCACAATCCCACTCCCAGCCTGCTCTGCCATGGGCGCCTTCCCCTTCGGTGCAGTTCCTGTCGCCGCCACCAGGGGCGCTGGTGGCTCCTGTTGGGCGGGGCAGTGCGGTGACTCCTCCGCGGCTGCAGGGGGCGCTGTGGCGCGGGCTCGCGGAGCACGTGGCAATGGCGGCTTTGTCCCGCGAAGGGACGGAAGAGAGGCTTTGCTGAAAAAAACCCTGTGGCAATCGATCTCGGTGCCCCAGCAGGAGTCTGAGGAGCACCGAGCTGGAACGGCAGGAATGAGCAGAAATCTTGGGGTGGTGGATGAGAGGTATCGGAATCTCCACGGTGGTGGATGGAACTGTGGGACATCCCAGCAGGGCAGGGCGATGCAGGGCCCCACAGCGTAGAGAAACCCAAAGCAGTGCCAAAGAAAGCAGTGGGCGTGGGGCAGGAGCGACCCGGCTCCCAGCAGGGCAGGGAGAGGCAGGTTCAGGCTCCCAGGCACCTGAGCAGATGGTGATAGGTCCTTCTTAGCGAGGTAAGAACTAATAAGGTTTTGGTTTAGTGGCTGCTCTTAGAGTCAGAAGCTCACCCTACAGAAAAAGAAGAAGCCAAAGAAGAAGCAGGAGAAGGCAAAGGAGAAGAACAAGGAGAAGACGAAGAAAAAGAATAAAAGAAGAGAAAGAAGAAGAGAAGGAGAGGAAGAAGAAGAGGAAGAAGAACAAGAACAACAAGGAGCAGCAGCTCTGAGCATCCACCTATGAAGCCGCTGAGCGAAAGAGCTACCAGCTGCCCCAGCCTTCCTTCACCTGCCCTGAAATCCAGCAGTACCTCTGTTCGTCACAGAGAAACTCCCCAGATGAGAGGAAATGCAACCAGATGCCTTCATAACCCCTGGGCTTAGCCACTTCTTTGTTTTCTCAAGTAGCCGTAAGTGCCCAGTAGTCAGTGTTTCTTAGCAACTTATGGGAAAAGTTCTATAGGTGAGAAGAAACAAAGGCAGAGAAACCTAACCCCCGACACAAAGCTCAGGAAAGACTTTGAATATTGGAGGCAGTGGTGAGGAAGGAGCAAGAGATGACCTTGAAGCAGAGTCTCAGAAGAGGCAGCTGAACTGCTCCTTCTCATTTCTCCCTGGAGCAAGGACCTGAAAGGACTTGTTTGAATCCTCAGGAGTGCCACTGCAAAATATATACCCAGTCATAAATTTGCTCTTCTTATAAACAGGGAATTCCACAGGAAAGAGAAATTTTCTATTTACTTTAGGGCAGTTTGTTCATACTGTGAGAAATGCTGCCACCTTTCAAAATTTTAAAAGGTTGATTAAAACCATATCAAAACTTACAACAGAAGACTGAATAGAGAAAATTTAACAAAGCACCATGAACAAAGTACTACCAACCATCTGCTCATCCACAAAATGGGGGTTCCACCTTTTAACCCTCTGGCCCCTCCCAAAGCTCTGTCCATCAACTCCTTCATTTCAAGTGGTAGAGGTTACTTCCTGACATCTTGATTGGAGGTCAGATGTTGCCACATTAACAAGTGGACCCTCCCAAATGCCCTAGCTTCCCCAGCCATCCCATGAGACCAATGGAAAAAGGGGAAAACATATCTATAAAAATTGTGTTTTGGAGTTCTTCTGAACACAGAGATGATAACAGAGATGTTTCTGGTTTTACTGGGCAGAGCTTTCACGGGGCAAAGCCTTTTCTGTTTTCTGTACTGCCAGGCTGGCAAGGAGGCTGGGGGTACTTGGGAGGTTGGAAGGAGACACAGCCAGGAGAGGTGAGCCCAACTGACCAGAAGAATATTGCAGACCATGAGACATCATGCTGAGGATATAAAGTGAGGGGAAGAATGGGGAAGGTGGTGTCATTTGGAGTGGTGGGTTTAGTCTTCCCAGCTAGCTGTTAGGTGGGATGGGGCTCTGCTCTCCTGGAGGTGGCTGAACACCTTTCTATCCATGGGAAATGGTGAAAGGATTCCTTGATGTGCTGTGATTGTGTGCACAGCTTTTGCTCTCCCTGTCAAACTGTCTGTATCTCCACCCACGAGTTTTCCAGCTTTTCCTCTTCCAGTTCTCTCCCTGATCCCGGTGGTCGGGGAGTGAGGGAGCGGCTGCTGGCTGGGCTTAAACCACGCCATTAGAACAATGTGAAAGGTCTTGAAATGGCAGGAGTGTAGGTTTAGAGTGGATATTTGGAAGATATTTGTTACTGTGGGGGTGGTGATTCCCCAGCACAAGTTACTCACAGAAGCTGAGACTGCCCCATGCCTGGAAGTGTCCATGGCCAGGCTGGCTGGGGCTTGGAGCAACCTGGGATAGTGAAAGGTGTCCATGTCCATGGAAGGGCATGGAAGTAGCTGGTAATTAAGGTCCTTTCCAACCCAAAATGTTCTGTCATTCAATGACCACTCATTCACTCAAAGCTAAACTGGACACATGTTCTTGCATTTCCAAAAGTCCAGGAATAACAGAAGGATGAGTTACAACCAGAAGTATCCAGAAGAAGTGGGTTAGACCAAAATTTGTTCAAACTGGGTGCGTCCCATGGTTTCTTTTGATCTGTTAACCTGGGACTGATGTCTTAAACAAAGTGGGGTTTATCCAGAATGAGGGAGAAGGCCAAGAAGAGGCAGAAGTGGTGGAGGTGGGGCAAATTTCTCCTTCCTTGTGAGGCCCAGCTGACAGAACAAAGTACGGCACATCATTAGAAGGGGCCGTAAAGAATCAAAGACTCCCAAAGTGACCCCCAACTCCACAGTGCTGTATGACCAGTGTAAAACCCCTCCCAGGGGAAAAGTGGGGCAATCCCACATAACCTTTAACTCATGGAACCCGTTGAACTGTTAAATGCAAAGGCCCCCACCACCAAAGGATCAAGAGTGGGGACATTAAAGTTGGGAGTCCTGTTCCTAGATCTGTGGAGATATCTAGTAAGAGCTGTTGGCACCCTTGCCCACTTTGTTCATGCCCATTCACAGGAGAATAACTGTTGTCTGATGCTGACATTTGTGTGGGTATTATGGCATCCTCTGGATTTGCACACCCAATGTCCTGCAAGGATGCTCTGGGCACTGTGACTTTACTGGTGGTTCTAGAAATTTCAGTGAGAAGCAACTTGTGGTTCATATAAGACATGACACTGCAATGCAGCACTGCTGCAAATAACTTTTATTGTGAGCTCTTGCAAACTCCATGATGTGGCACACATTGGTCTTTGACAACCATTGAATACATTTCCCCTAAAGAAGTAAATTACTATGAACAGGCGGTGGTATGAGTAAAAGTTACCCAGAGATGTTTTGACTGGCCCATCCCTGGAAGGGTTCAAGGCTGGGCTGGGGAGGGCAAGGAACAACCTGGTGTAGTGGAATGTGTCCCTGCCCATGGCGGGCAGGTGTGAATGAGATGATCATTAAGGCTTTAAGGTCCAATCAAAAACAACCCATTCTGTGATTCTGTGACATGTGAGAAAAGCCACTCAGCCTTTTCCATTGAGGATATGAGGCTTATTGCCGGGGACAGGCATTATTGAACAATGTAACTGTTCCATGGTAGTGCTCGGTCAACCTCTCCTCCAGCTCCCCCAGGCTGAGCTCCTCCACCTCATTCTTGTCATTCTCAGCGATGGCCCCCCAAGCCTTCTTGGGCTCTGTGCCCACCAGACAGCAGGCAGCTGACCAGATATGGCTGGGTATGTTAACCCTCCCTTCAGCGATGTAGGTGTTCCCAGGCACAGCACCCGTGATCACGTAGGTTGTTGTACAGCCCTTGGTCTTTGTGGCCATCCTTTTAGACTCATAGATGTTCCACTGGCCCTCGTTGAGACTGCTGTTCTGAGGCACTATGTTGGTGAGGGTGAAGGTAGCTGTCTTGCTTTCTCTACTGTAATGATGCCCACTGGGGCTCAAATGGCCACGGTCCAAACCAGTCACGTTGTAGTCACTGAGGACAGCTTGGCTTTCTTTGATTTGGTCTAAGGTGAACTTGTATTTCTGTATGAGGACCGACTCTCTTTCCATCTCTTTAAGATTATTTTTACCTATCAGCTGGACAGGGAAAGAGAAAGAGGCGTTAGAATGGGGAATGGGAGTAACAGAGAAGATTTCCCTGGAGCAGAAGACTCTGATGGTTAAGATTACAGTTTGTGCCATCTCAGTGCAGGAAAGTGTATGAATCTGAGCCAAATCATACACCTGTCCCTCCTGCATGAATCCAAGAGCTTTAAAGAGTAAAGAGCTCAGAATCTGACTGCTCTCAGCTTGACTTGTGACCTTTGTGATCCAGCCTGCAGCCTGTGCTGGGAGCATGGATGGATGCACGAGAGAAGGAGCATTTCCTACTCCTAGGATTGAAAGGTGATTTTGTTGAGACACCTCCCCTGACAAATATGTTTCCTTTTCCTCCTGCCTCCACAGCCCAAACCTGCCCAGGGCTCTCCCTGGATCCTCTTACACCACGCTGTGATCGTGTGATTCAACGATTCTGTGATTTTGTGTGGTTGCTGCAGAGGCACCCAAGTTCTGGAAGACCAGAGGTTGCCTCCTGTAACCCTGTACAGTGGGAGATGTGTCAGTAAATCAGTCCTGCAGCTGAGGTTTCCCTGGGAGGGCTACAGTTTTTTCAATGGAAGAACAGTTTTGCTCAGTAAGCAAAATTATATCAATGTGAATGGAATCTGTTGCAGCAGTGCTGGGAATGTGCGCTAGGGCAGATCTGGGTAAGGGAGAATTTTCTGCAGCATCACTGAAAAGAAGTTACAAATGAACAGCCCCTGAGAAGGGTCCTGTAATCCCAAAAGAGTCGTGGGGAAACTAAATACTCCAAAAATGCCTCAGGAGAAAGTTATTAAAAATCAAAGGTTGTTTGGGTGGCCAGGGTCCAAGGACCAGAAGGAAAATGCCAAGGTAGATAGGGCTTGGAGCATGCTGGTCTAATGGCAAGTGGCCTGGTGCATGCAGGGGAATTGGACTGAGATGGTCTTTAAGGTTCCTTCCAACAAAAAACATTCCATAAATCTCCAAAAACAGACAATGTGGAAGCTGCAGTGGTGCAAGGCCAGAGTAGTTGTTCTAGTTCCTACGCAAAATAAGAGGAAGTTATTATTTTTTTTAATAACTTCAACATAATTTTGTTCACCTTTTGGGAAACATATTTAGCCTTCCTCTGGAGTAGAGCACAAGGCTTCCTTCTCTGGCTCACCTTCCCTGGCTCACCTTACCCCAAATTCCATCCTGCTACTCTGTCCTTAGCAATGACAGGAATTGTCTCTTTTTCTCTTCTGCAATTGGCCTGGCCTGTTCTACCGAATTTTGGCTGAAGGCCATTGGTAAGGGCTCTTTTGTCTGTGCTGTTCTGTCTGTCTGGTGGATCAAGCCTGAGCCAAAGGCGCACAGGGGTCACTGCCCATGGACGGAGATCTCACCCCTCTGACTGGACCAACACTGATGCTCCTCACTCTCACTGCAGGAAATGTCACTGCAGAAATCCCTCCACAGTTAACCTGACCCTCTCATCTCCAGTGCCTTTTCCCCTGAGGCTTTGTCCCTGGGCCATTTCATTCCCTTCTGAGTTTCTCCTCACTTCTCTCCCACCACTCACAAAGCCTGTTTGACTCTTCACTAGGAACAGAGAAGCTCTGCCAGGGATGCAGAACAGCTCAGGGCCAAGTGGGGATCAGATGCCAGCAGGACTGTTGGTGCCTCAAGTTTAGCCTCTCCTGGATGCCTTTTCCCCATCACTTGGTCACCCAGCACAGCAGGGCCCAGGGAGGGGAAGCATTTGCCTTTGTCATGTCATGCAAAGGAATCTGATTTGCTGTTCCTGTCAGGTGAAGGCAGAAAGCTGGGCACCCTTGGGATGTGATTCATCTCCTGCTCCTGCTGATGTCTCAGATGCATCAGAGGAACCCTGTGGTGCAGGGGTTTGATGTTCAGTGAGGACATTCCCATCCAGTGTGTCCATTTGCATGTGTGTAGTGGGGTGTTAGGAAACAGAAGTGGTAATTTAAATGCTGCAGCTCATCTCTGAGTGGCTGCAGAGTGATGTGAGTAAAGAGGGACACTCACCTGAGGCTCAACAAACCACCATGTGTGAGGTCTCTTGGCAATCCCAGGCTGGTATTTGTAAGCAGAGTACACTGGAATTCTCCTGTCTCTGTCATACAGGGTGGCATAGTGATACGAGTTGCTGAAACGCTGGCAGATCCAGGCTGGGTTCTTTGGATTCAGGACATCATTTGGAGGATGGCCTGCATAGAAGAACTGAGGACAGCTTGCAAAGGAGTTCACCACCTCACTGTGTCCCAGCCAGAGGCAGCTGGCCAACCCCTGCAGCAGCAGCAGCCCCAGCATGGTGGGAGGATTTCAGTGAAGGGCTCTTGCTCCCCTGGAAGGCAAATGCAGAGACACACTCAGCTTGGAGAGAGCTGGACATGGCCTGGAGCCTTTTTGTGCAGGGGGACAGAGCTGCCAGAGGAGGGGATTATGAGACACCAGGAAAGGTCTAATTTCTGTCCTCCTATACATGGAAAAAATCACAAGAGCAATAAGGGTGAATCCCAACACAGGATTTAGGTGCCCACAGAAGGCAGCAGTGGGAGAAGTCAGCCTGCAGGAGGAAGGAGCCAAACCCACCACGACTGCAATCAGTTCTCATAGCAAAGTGATCTTGCAACTGAGGTACAGCCCTGGGATAAGGTCACCTTTTCCCACCTCCCTCCTGCTCTCAGCACCTTCCCACAGCAGACACCTGCAGCTGGGCACAGGCTCTGCTCAGCCCCCTGCCATGCTGACCTGGGCTTTAATCTCATGGGGCATGAGGCAGGCAAAGAACAGCAATGCTGCACTTCCTACAAGTCTCTGGCCCCATCCAGGCTCACACAGACACTCAGCTCTGCCACTCAGACCCAATAGTGAACCCCAAATGATCCCCCTGGGCTCCTGCCTCTCAGCTGACATTGGGCCATGGGTGTCCTGCTGCTCACCTTGCATTTCCATGTCATCCAACCCCACACTCTGAACTTGCAGACACACGGAGAGAGCAAAGGGGCCAAGCAGATGGCAGCAGCAAACATCAGGGATAACACCTCTATCTTATCAGCACAGTGGCTGCTGCAATGCAAGCACTGACTCATCTCTCCATTTCCACTGGAGTCAGGATGTTGAGCTGCACACAGCCCTGCTCTGACCCAAGATATCTGGTACTTTTTCTCTTGTTCATCCCTGGATCAGGAACATGATGACCAATGATCTGCAAACTGAGAACTGGAGGTACAAGTGATGACTTTTTACAGTACTCTGCAGAGCATGCCCAAAGCTACCCTAAAGCAAGCAGGGAAGGGTCTGAAAACTCCTTCTGCGTGTCCTACTCCATGAGATTAAAATATATCTTAAGGAAATATCTAAGTTAACAGATACATAGAAAACAACCTACCGTGAGAAGGAGTGGCACAGGATTCTGCTCGCAGCCCCCAAGTGGCAGAGGAGTCTCCAATGCCTCTGCTGCAGTCTCAGACTGTTTGGGTTTATATGCTCTCCAGGGAGAGGCAGTGGTTACATTTCCCAAGAAGCCTTTAGTGTAAATTTTCTCAGGAATTCAGACCACACCTCTGTTTGTCCAGAGGTTTTTTGCAAGATCATAATCTCCTCCTTCCTATTTATTCAACAGTTTGATGTTGATTTTCAGGTGAGCTGCCTTGAGTTTCTTTCCGACATCATTCCTTCTGTCTTTGTCCTCCTGACTGACGGAAAATACTGAAGTCTTGCAAAATTCAGTGCATGCATAAGCTCTGATTGCTCCTTGGAGCTCAGCAACTCCAGCCTAAGTTTGTCCATAAATATTTCAAAAAGTCAGGAAATACTTCAAATATTGGAATGAATAGTGAGAGGGAGGAAGAGCTTACCTTGATGTAGAGTCTTAGAATAAAGCAGCTGAACCGTTCCTTTTGTCTTCTCCCTGGAGAAAGGAGTGTTTGAATGCTCAGGAGTGCCACTGCAATATATACCCAGGCATAAATTTGCCCCTTCTTATAAAGAAGGCATTCCACAGAATAGAGAAGTTTTCTATTTTTATTTGGAAGGTTTGTGCACACCCACCCTGAAATGTGCTGACTGTTGTTTGTCATAGTTTCCTCAGAATTTCTCCCAAATTTGCTGACTTGCAGCATGACATGTCAGGATCTGTTATATATATACCAGTCATGAAGTTGCCCTTTCTAATTTTCCCTAGTAAACAGGGAATGCCACAGAAAAGACAAGTTTTCTGTTTTTATTTAGGGGGTATGTTCACACCCACCCTGAAATGTGTTGACAGTTGTCATAGTTTCCCCAAAATTTTCCCAAATTTGCTGCCTTGCAGCATGGTATGTCAGGTTCAGCTAACAGGGTCTGGTGGCTGCCTTGATCATTTCATCAATCCCACCAGCTGCAGTTGCTGCTGCTCCAGCACCTACACGTGTTCCTGTTCCCAACAGAACATCTCTGGTGACATGGGATGGACTGGCCTGGCTCTGAGTGCACTCAGATATTCACAGTCTGCTCTTCTGCAGCCTCCCATAACATCATTCCTATGGCCAGGCTACAAATACTCTCCTGCCTGATTGCCATGGCTGTGTAACAGCTTGATCCCAGCAGCCTGGGAAGGAGAAGGCTCTGGGGACACCTCAGAGCACCTGCCAGTACTGTAGGAGTCTGCAGGAGAGCTGGAGAGAGACTTTGCATAAGGGCTTGGAGCTGATAGGTGTGCTGGGTTCAGAGTTAATTTTTTTGAAAATGGCAGGTGTGGGGCTGTGTTTTGGAGTTCTGCTGAACACAGAGTTGATAGCACAGAGATGTTTCTGGTTTTACTGGGCAGAGCTTTCACAGGGCAAAGCCTTTTCTGCATTTTTGTACTGCCAGGCTGGCAAGGAGGCTGGGGATACTTGGGAGGTTGGGAGGAGACACAGCCAGGAGAGGTGAGCCCAACTGACCAGAGGGATATTGCAGACCATGAGACATCCTACTGAGGATATAAAGGGAGGGGAAGGAGGAGTGAGGAGGTGTTATTTGGAGTGGTGGGTTTTTTTGTCTTCAGAGGCAGCTGTTAGGTGGGATGTGGCCCTGCTGTCTTGGAGGTGGCTGAACACCTTTCTGTCCATGAGAAGAGTTGAAAGATCTCCTTAACCTGCTTTGCTTGTGAGCAAAGTTTTTCTTTTCCCTGTTAAATTGGCTCTGTCTCTATCACAAATTTTCCAGCTTTCACCTTCCAGTTCACTTTCTGATCCTGGTGGTTGTGGAGTGAGGGAGCGGCTGCGTGGGGTGTGGCTGCTGGCTGGGGTTAAACCACATCTTTAGGACAGAATTCCCAGAATTCCCAGAATGACTTGTTTGGAAGAGACCCTCAAAATGATTGAGTCAAACCCATGCCCCAACACCTTAACTGAACCATGACACCGAGTGCTGTATCCAGTCTTTTTTTAAAACACTTGCAGGGATGGTGACTCCACCACCTCCCCAGGCAGACCATTCCAGAACTTCATCACTTTTTCAGTGAAAAACTTTTTTCTAATATCTGACCTCTATTTCCCTTGAAGCAGCTTGAGACAAGGTGAAAGGGCTTGAAAGCAGTGTAGGTTTATATTGGCTATTAGGCAGATATTTGTTACTGTGGGGATGGGGAAGCCCCAGCACAGGTTGCTCACAGAAGCTGAGACTGCCACATCTCTGGAAGTGTCCATGGCCAGGCTACCTGCGGCTTGGAGCAACCTGGGATAGTGAAAGGTGTCCCTGCCCATGGGAGAGCATGGAAGTAGCTGGTCATTAAGAACCTTTCCAACCCAGAATGTTCTGTCATTCAATGAGCATTCATTTAATCAAAATGAAACTTGACTCATATTCTTCCATTTTCAAAAGGCCAGGAATAATAAAATGATGAGTTTGTTGTTACAACCAGAAGTATCCAGAAGAAGTGTGTTAGACCAAAGTTTTTCCAAACAATCTGGTTGGGTCCTATGGTTTCTTTTTTCTCTGTTAACCTGGGACTGATGTCTTAAACAAAGCAGGGTTTAGCCAGAATGTGGGAGAAGGCCAAGAAGAAGCAGATCTGGTGGAGGTGGGGCAAATTTCTCCTTCCTTATGAGGACCAACTGACAGAACAAAGCAGGGCCCAACAGTGGTCACATCATTAGAAAAGGCCATAAACCATCAAAGACCGCCAAAGTGTCCCTGAATTCCACAATGCTGCATGACCAAGTGTAAAACTGTTCCCAGGAGAAAAGTGAGGCAATCCCACACAATCCTGAGCTCACAGAATCCACTGGACTCTTAAATGCACTTAAATCCCACTCCTAAAGGATCAAGAGTGAGGACATTAAAGTTGGGAGTGTTTTTCCTGGATCCATGGGGATATCTTGTAAGAGCTGTTGGCACCCTTGCCCACTTTGTTCATGCCATTCACAGGACAATAACTGCTGTCTAATGGTGACACTGGTGTGGGTGTTACGACACCCTCTGATTGCATTTGCACACCCAGTGTCCAGCAAGGATGCTCTGGGCACTGTGACTTTACTGGTATTGTAGAAATTTCAGTGAGAAACAACTTGTGGTTGTAGAAGACGTGACCCTACAATCCAACACTGCAGCAAATAACTTTTATTGTAAGCTCATGCAAACTCCATGATGTGGCACACATTGGTCTTTGACAACCATTGAATACATTTCCCCAAATCAGTTTCCCATCAATCTGCAGAAAAGCTTCAGAAGCACAGCAGAGAATGAAGGTGTCCAAGGAGTATATCAGAGCTTTCTATGTCTCTGATGCCAAAGCCTGCCTGTCTGATACAACAGCTGCTGCTTTCAAGGTGCAGTTCCAAAAGCAAACAAACAAAAACATCTGCCAGGATCACAGAATCAGTGAGTTGTTGTGTTTTGGAGGGACTTCTCAGGACCTTCTAGTCCAGACTCCAGGCTCCAGCAGGATCAGCTAGAGCAGGTTGTCCATAAGGTTCTGTGCAGCATCTTCAGGCATGTGGCACAGCACTCGGGCAGCAGCATTGCTGAACACCTCCTCACCTGAACCCAGGGGTTCTTGGCTGATATTCCTGTGCCAAAGTGCTGTTGCCCATTAGTAAGGACATTTTGCCCAGGTGCGGGAAGTGAGGACCTCATTGCAGGGAGTGAAACAGAAACACACCCAGATTTACAACAGATAAGTAGTTCCTCAGAAATCAGAAGTTTAACTTTACAGTGTAACCTTATTAAAGTTGCCAAACACGAATTTTTGTTTCCTGGAGGAACCAAAGGAGCTTTGCCCAGCTGCTCTCTCAAGCAGAGGCCAGAGGATGTCACTGTCTTGAGTCTCCTGTTATCTTCTCTTTTGGGACAGCACACCGCAACATGTTCAGTTCACAGAATGGGAACACTTGGTGTTACTGGAAAAGGGCTAAGCAAGCTGCATGACCAACATTTTGCAGTGAAGAGGCTTGAGGCTGCAGTGTCCCCTCACAGCTCCCAGCAAAAATAATTTTTCCTTAGTGGCTAAAATCCCTGTGACACACCGGAGCCCAGAGCTCTCCCCAAAGATGGACAGACACAGAGCAAACTGCAAAATTACCCGGCCATGTCAGTGCAGCTGCATCTTCCCAGGGAACACAGGTGCTTCCCACCCCACGGTGGGATTAGGATTCCACCACACCCTTAGGAGGTCCATTCCAATGTTGAATCACCCTTTATGTGAAGAAATTCCTCCTGATGTGCCACCAGAATCTCTCCCAGTGCAGGTTGAGTCCTGGCCCTCTCATCATCTCCCTGGTTGTCCAGCAGAATATTCTGACACCCAGCTGGCTACACCTCCATTTCAGGGAGCTGGAGAGAGAAATAATCTCTCAGAGATGCCTCTTCTGGGCTAAAGAACCCCAGCTGCCTCAGCTGCTTCTCACAGGCCTTTCCCTCCAGGGCCTTCGCCAGCTTCATGGCCTTTCTCTGCACTGCCTGCTGACGTGGCCCCGGCCCGTGGATCCAGCCCGTCCAGATCCCTCTGCAGAGCCTTCCTGCCCTCCAGCAGGCTGAGTCGCCCACCCACCTTGGTATCATACATGATCTTGCTGAGAGTTCTCTGGATGCCCTCATGCAGATCACCAGTACAGATCTTAAACGGGACTAGGCCCCACGCTGCTCCCTGGGGACAGCGCTTGTGGCCGGACGCCAGCTGGATGTGGCACTGTTCACCAAGGCTCTCTGGGCCTGGACACCCGGACAGCTCCTGACCCAGCCAGGAGAGCACCTCTCCAAGCCGTGGGCTGACAGCTTTTCCAGGAGAATGCTGTGGGAGACTGTGCCAAAGGCTTTGTTGAAGTCCAGGTGGACACTTCCACAGCCTCCCCCTCATCAGCAGGGCCGCTCATCTGGTCATCAAAGGAGATCAGGTTCAGTATGCATGACCTGCCTTTCCTAAACCCCTGCTGGCTGGGACTGATGCCTTGGTTATCCTGGATGTGCCCTGTGATCACACTCAGGACAATCTGCTCCAAAACCCCTCTGGGAAGCCAGGTCAGGTGGACACGCTGGTAATTCCCCAGATTCCCCTTCCAGCCCTTCTTGAGGATGGGTGTCACAATGGCCAAACTCCAGGCATCTGGGACCTCCCCAGTGACCCAGCACTGATTAGAACGGATGGAAAGCAACAGTCCTCATATATGAAATAAGGCAGAATCCAAGCTGATCCTTTTCCCTCTTGAGCTTCCCATGTATTTCATAAGCTTGCTATGCATGGCAGGGCATTTCTGATTACTGCCAGGGGTGAAGGTCCTGGGAAGAGCCTGGGAAGTTGATACAGGTGGCACTGATGGGCTTGCTGTGTTGGTTTTGCACAGGCTGTATCTTGGGAGTGGGGGGGCCACAGAGGTGGCTTCTGTGAGAAGCTGCTGGAAGCTTCCACCATATCCAGCAGGCCCAATGCATGGTGGTTCTGTACATGGACATGGTGCTGGCCACAGGTGGGCCAGTTAGAGATGTTGGTAACACCTCTGCAATAACATATTAAAGAAG